GTTGTTGTTAGTCTTAAACATCAGTGCCGGCCGGAAATCTGTGTGCAATTAAGCTCAAGTGATGACCTCTTTGTATGCGTTTTGGCACTTTTTATCAGACAGCTTGTTGTGCAAATATATAAATGAGTTCAAGCATTATAGGGAATTGCATTAACCATAATTTTCAGGCAGACAGCTATATTCCTGAATTTTAATACATGCACGAACAAGTTATTCAGCTCCATAAATTACTCATTTTATCAATCAGCAAATAGTTTTAACAGTTAGTGGATAGATTTGTTCTCAGGCATTAGAATCGACTGCTTTTGCAGCTGGACTTCCTCCTGCTTTTGCAGATTTGCCCTTTTGGAAGGAAAGCTGTGGGTTTGTTTAAAGAATATCCCATAAGCCATTGCCTTTTGCTTTCTGTATTTTGTATTTGGGAACAAATTCATCATGCATCAACTTTAGATGGATCTCTATGAAATGCAAAGGTCTGAAGGTCCATCCTTTGGTGGTAAAGCAACAGACTTTGTGTAAACTCCCCAAACTCTCCAGTAAGCACTGGGTAGAAAATGATGAAAACTACATTTCTGTCTGAGACCCCCTTAACTAGGGGTCCCCAATATGGTACCAACAGGACCCTTGAGTTGTACCCAGAATGGGGTCCCCAACATGACTCCAGTAAGTACCTAAAAAGCTTTTAAAAACTCTAATTTTTGTTCATGGATTTGTGTATATTAATAGCAAAGAAATGCCTACGAAGGAAAATTGTCCCCTCCACCCCTTGCCTAAGTCTAGCCACCTTCTTTTGCTTCCTTCCTTGCATTGGTTCCTACTCACTCCTTTTCATCTCTAGCCTACTTGTGTCCGTAATCAACTTCTTTCTCTCCCCTCCTAGCCCCTAGCCTTCCCCTTCCCCTCCCTCTACCTTTGCCATGCAATTCCTCCTTCCCCCCAGCTTCTAGCCTCAGTCCGACTCTTTCTCGCATTTCTTTCACTAGCCAGACCTTCAGAGCAGCCATTATCAGCAGCTAGTCACATCCTCCATGGGACTTTTTGGAGCAGTTTCTCAAATTCCCAGAGGTGCCCCCAAGTTCTGAAAGGTTGGAGACCCCTGAACTAGGCAATAATGGCCATCATTGGGTGTCGAACCACTCAAGGGTCAAATTCAATTCTGGAAAAGCATTTGGGGGCTGCACTCCAATGCTGGGTGGGGCTGAAGCAAAACTACAGGACCAAAAACACCAACATAATTTAATCCAGAACACTCCCTACCAGAGATGTAACCTTTGGAGAAGCAAGCTAGCCATCTAGAACGAAGCATGGAAAGACACAGAAGTTAAGAAACAACCAAAGGCATATTAGCACTCTGCGCTTGCTGATATATACAGCAGCAGCTAGGGGAAGTTTGTGGCTAAACTGAATGGGCAAATCATGTAACCTGTAGTAGGCAACTTCTAATGTTATGATGGTTAACTTCTCTGGCTGGCTTGACCACTGAGGGAGCTTCATAAAGCTACTGCAGAGGTGGGGGTGAACGTGGGACAAAACCCCCTCCCCATCTATTCATCTTGTGGTTTGCAAGGTTTGTGAACTGCCAGGAGACCTGCAGCTACTCGATGAAATAGAAATGAAATAAATTTAAAAAATTAAAACGCAGCAAGGGGCACTCAGGAAAAAGCCCTTGCATCAGGCAAAGGAAGGAAGGGTGGATCCTTATTATAGCCAAAAACAGCAGCACCTGGACACAAGAAAAGGCATCAGCAGTCTCTTCAGAAGCCTCAAAATGTGGAGAAATACAGAAAAGGACTTCGGAAAAAGCCCTCAGCAAAGACATCTTACTCCAGCCCCCAACCCCATAATAGGCCCAATTATGACTGAATATTATAGAAATATAGAAACAAAGTGAGTCAGAAGGGGCCTCCCAGGCCATCTAGTCTGACCCCCAGCTCCAGCCAGCTCTACTCATGTCATCCCCAACATGTTGTTCAAGCTTTCCTTGAACACCCTCACCGATGAGGCCTCAACCACCTCCCTTGAAAGCCTATTCTATATCCTAATGATCAGGAAGTACTTCCTGACATCCAACTTGAAGCCTGATTCCTTTGCCCCATTGGCACGTGTCCTGCCCTCCACTGCAGGGAAGGACAGGTCATGGCCCTCCTCCACATGACATCCCCTCACATACCTATAAGCCGCTAACCTCACATACGTATAAGCCGCTTAAAGATCCCCTCGGAGCCTCCTCTTCTCCAGGTTGAAAAGACCCAGTTCCCTCAATCTCTCCTCATACGTCATCCCTCCCAGTCCAACTACCATTCTTGTGACCCTTTGCTGAACCGATTTTAACCTAGCTAAGCCTCTCCTATAATGTAGAGCCCAGAATTGGTGAGAGCCAGTGTGGTGTAGTGGTTAAGAGCCTGGGACTGGGACTCAGACGATCTGGGTTCTAGTCCCCGCTCGGCCATGGAGCCAACTGGGTGACTTTCGGCCAGTCACAGACTCTCTGCCCAACCTACCTCACAGGGTTGTTGTTGTGGGGATAAGATGGAGGGGGAGAATGATGTAAGCTGCCTTGAGCCCTTTGCAGGAAAAAGGCAGGATATAAATGGGCCGTGGGAGGGGGATGGACACAGTTCTCCAGTTGTGGGTGCACCAGAGTTGTGTAGAGTAGTGTCAACACCTCCCTAGATCTGGAAGCCACACCTTGGGCTATACATCCAAGGGTGGCATTTGCCTTCTTAACCACTACATCACGCTGCTGGCTACTGTTTAGCCTGCTGTCAACAAGTACCCTGATATTCCTTTCACGAGTGCTGCTCTCCAGTCACTTGTCCCCCATCCTGTTCCTGTGACACCTCGTATTCCTGTGTCCCAAGGGCAAGACCTTGCACTTATCCACTTTGAATGCCATCCTGTTGTTCCCGCCCACTTCCACAGCCTGTCCAGATCCTTCTGGATCTGGATCACCTGCGCCTCCATTGTGGCCACCGCCCCCACTTTGGTATCGTCAGCAGACTGGTTATCCCCTCCTCCAGGTCATTGATTATCCCCAAGCACAGAATGCAAATCCATGTGATGGGGAAAAGATAGATGAAGACTCAAAAGGCTTGTATTTTAGAATAAAAGCACTCAATGTTGCTACAGGTTCCATTTGTTTGTTGGACATCAGAACATCTTTTCTAGCTTTTGGGCTTTTTACAGGCATCAAGTGCCATGGTCCCAAAGGCTCATGGCTGCACCTGTGCACCAACACCCCACCGGATGTGCATGGGCCTCTTCACACAAACAAGCCCATGTGGCTGCAGCGTCACTTGCTCTTGTTATACCCCACCCTTTTTCCTGCAAGGAACCCAAGGTCCTCTTCTCAGCAAAGTCACCCAGTGGGCTTCATAGCTGAGCAGGGACTTAACCCCAGTTGTCTGCAACCCACCCAACATTCTAACCACCACGCCACCCTGGTCACATGGGGCCTGAGCCATCGTGGATGCTGTCCAGCAGCTGCCCTAGAAAGCAGTGGCGGGCAATGTGGGGGGGTGCAGATGCTTAGGCCAAAAGCTCCTGTGGCTAAGTTGAAGTCTGAGCAAAATTCTGATATTCTCCCAGACAGAGTGAGCTCACCTGTACCATTTTGTGGCCCTGGCCTTTTCCTTCCTTCCACACCCCCCAGAATGGAACTTCTGCATTTTTTGTGTGTTTTCTGTCTCTGTGCAACACTAATAACTCATCCAGAATTTAAAAACAGACAGGCAATACAACCACAGCCTTCCCCCTAGTGGACTCCAGCAATGCTTTTAAAGTAAGATGAAAGCTAAGCAGTACAGTGTTTCATCTTTAGTAGCTCATTCTAGCAGCACTGGGGTGGCAACAGGATTTGCTGGATAGCTGCCAAGACCCTAAATGTGATAAACAGCCATAGCACACAATTGCAGGACTCAATGGCATAGACCTCTCCTCCCAACCCCACTTTCAAGGGCTGAAGCAAGCCCTGGCAGCTCCCCAAAACTTTGGCCAAGGCAGGCTGAAACGCGCACCCTTCCACTGTGACAGATATTTGCAAAAGGTATGGCCAGGATAAAAGCCGTTAGGCAGGGCTACGTTTTTTCCTGCCCCATAAAGTCTTAGCATCTGCTTTGGAAGTTCTCTTCAATGCACCCGAAAAGGCAGAGGTGGAAAAGGAGCAGGAACAGACAAGCTGTTCAAACTCTTGTAATCAATCTCTTGATTACAGTCCAATTAAGAGATTGGACTGTATCTTCCCTATGAGGAACGGCTGAAGAAGAGTGTCTTTTTTTCTGTCGATAACATTTTTTCCATCTGGAAGGAAAGGACCATGATAGAGGGGAAAGTGATGCAGTGTGAAAGTAATGAACGTAGAAATTTCCCTTGTTCTCTCAGGGAAGAAGGGAAACTTAGGGTCATGGGATAAAAAATAATTGGTAGTAAGTCCAAATGAGATAAAATCAAGTATTTTTTCAACCAGCATGTAAAATATAAAATCCACGGTGACAATATTGTGGTGGTTATTAAGCTTATATGGCTTTAAAAGATTAGTCGAACTCATGAAGATGGTGAAGGAAAGGCCCATCAATGGTTATTAGACATGATAACTAACCGGAATACTCTCATGGTGTTAAACAGAAGGCTATTTGCTCCCACAGGTCTCTAGTTAGCCATCAGCTACTAGGACTAGAAAAACATTTTGCCTGACCCTGCATGCTTTCTATTCTAAATTAGGCCAAGTCAAGGTTCCTAAAACTTGGTGCAAGCTTTAGAGATCTTCAGAATTCTTTCAGGGAAGCCAGTTAATAAAACAAAAACAGGCAGAAAGGGAAATAGTGGCTGATGTTGAAACGACGGAGTCTGAATTTAATAACAGTCAAAAGAGGCTCTACTATCTATTTTCTTCCTATCTGATTCTAAAAGGTACCACATACACCGAGGACCAAGTGCAAGTAACCCGGACTCAATCCACTTAGCTATAGTTCCTTCCCAGAGATGACACGATACATATTCAGTTGCATTAGCATGTTGTATTTTAATACTATTCCAAACTACCATATCCATGAGACTATTTTCAAATACAATTGAGAGCTGGGGGGAGAGAGGGAATAAGATAGTTGCTTACGATTTTATACCTATGGTTAAATTCTTCACAACATCAAAAAAGAAAAGCTGTCTACAAACATTTGTTGCAAGTAGATACAGAATGTACAGTGGTTGTATATACACGTGCATTTCAGCATACAATACATTTTTAGCAGAAATTCTGGGAAAAATAGTCCAGATTTTATATATAATCTATATTTAAGACCATCTGAAGCATTCTCTCCAAAGTTAAACATCCTCTTTGCTTTGGTTATGAAGTGCATTATCCTCAGGATCCTAACTGTACTAGCTGTTGTGAATTAACTCTCAATTGTACTACAAGACATCTTCAAAGCCATCTAGGCTACTCCCCAATCTTCCCCCTCATGCATTCTGTCCCAATGAAATGCACATGATCTTAGCTCACGTTATATGCTAATGGACAACAATTGCATTGATTGACCAATTTGCAATTTTTTTTTTCTTTTGCAGGAGATGGGGATCATAGAGCCAGGGAGCTCGCAGTGTTCATAAAATAGCCATGAGAAACAGGGTTCCACTGGAAATCTGATTGCCAAAAAGAATCAAGAGCGTGTCAATATTGTCAAAGGCCAATGTGCCAGCTATTGCTGATGCAATCTGAAAAGGGAAGGGTAGGGAGATATAAGCCATAACTGGTCAGTTTATTTCAGTTGAACACTGAAATTTGGCAAATGTTCTCTAAGATTTTCTACAACTATTGTACACTAGCCTTAAAGGACTTTAAATTCATATATACAGTTTAATGTGGAGGATTTTGCTGGAAAACTCTATAGTTTTTCTTTGACCAAGTAGAAAAATAGAACTAAAAAGAAGTTATTATGAACCAAGGGATCATCCCAGAAGCTGGGACTGCCAAGTGAAGTGGTAATAACTTTATTCTGCTTAACAAGAATGTGACTGCATCATTTCAGTCTTAGAACATGGTTATTGAAACAATACTCATAGAAGAGGAAATGAAATGCAGATATACACACATACATACAAAATGTAAACAGATCTCTATGTTTAAGTTAAGCTAAGAGAATATCATTTTTATCAAGTTTTCAGTGCTCCTTCTAAGCTTAGAGAAAATTCTGAAAAAAGAGATTATCCACTCACTGATGATTAAATACTTGTGCAGCTTATTAAGTACTCAATACAAATGGGACAAAACCAGAAGTCTACTGAATAGATTCTCTCTACTTGCTAATTTTGCTTCCATATACATAAAAAGTATTTACTGTGGGATAAAGAAAAAGAATGGCATAAATTTAGCCACTTAAATCCATTCTAGATGCATACTGCATCTTTAATTCAAAATTGATATTCACTGGGTGACCCATGTTAAATTTAGATGGGCCGCCACCTTAAATATTAGTACACAACATTCTCAGAACAAACAAAAATGACTGGAACCCCAATTCAATTATATGAATCAATATCCAGGAGGGAGCAGATTGATCAAACACTCAAAGAGTTTGTTAATACATGAAGTAAATAAGCAAGATTTTTTAAAGAAAAAATCCAGATTTTGATATTGGAGCCTAAGTTATCTCACAGATTGAATAATACTTTTCAACACAAAGATGCAAAAATATTGTGTTATAAACAGTACATGGGAAATCCAATCTGTGTAGTGGACCTCAAACATTTGTAAGTGCATGAAATTCATCCAGAGTATCATCTTCTACTAAACAAAAAGAGATAGAGCAGGTTTGGACAGAATATTAAACTATGATTTATTGTGACCATTTAGCTTGAATCAGAAAATGAAGTTTGAAACCAGCCTGTTCAGACACCCACAGCTTAAATTAACCAATTTGTCCTGGTTCAGAAGCAGCAAACTGTAGTTAGATTAAAATGAAAGCAGATGCTTCCACACCCATTGTGTCCACATCTGAGAGCAGAATGCTTGAACTCAAGGCTCATGCACGCAGTCACATGCTACCTGTATGCATGAGACCCTCCCACAGATTCATGCTAGAAGCTAATCATGATGTGCATAAGCAGCTTGCAAGTCACACATCCACACTGTACTTTCAGAAACCCACTCCTTGATGTGGACACAATCACCTCAGTGTGTCCAATAAACGGAATCACAGTTTTAGGCCAGAAGCTTTCCAGTATAGGGTCAGGATGAAAATCTCACACCTTAGCAACAGAATGAGAGTGACTAACACACAGTCTTCTTCAGAACGTTGGATGGGCTTAGAGGACTACCACAGCGACCTTGTGGCTCCTTTGACAGTTCAAGATGGCCAGAAGATGCTTTGGAAACCCAGTGCCACTCCAATCCGGACGCTGGGAATCCATGCCCACGTCCCCCTCCCCACCACAGCTGGTACAGAAAGAATCACTCCACCTGTTTCGCCAGGTCACAAAAAATGCTATCACAAAAGGAGTTTGGTAGGCAATCCCGGGGACCAAGAGGAAGGAGATCAGCTCTACCAAGGTATGATGCATCCCGGCAGTATCTCAGCCACCCTCACTCCTCTCTGAAATGCCAGAGCTAGCAGCCACGGCTGGCGATCTGGCCGCTTCACAGAGTGGGAGGAGCAAGATCTTTGCCACAATGGTCCTCTGGCTCTTCAAAGGATGCCCATGATCCTCTTGCATTGGATTACTCCCTAAGCGGGGCCTCAAAGCCTCACAAACTTTTGATCCGCTTTATTTCAAGTCTACAATGCTCTCCCTATATCCTTCACTTTAAATAAAAGGTTGCAAATTAATTTTAAGGCACATGGCACTACAGTAAGTTTGGAACATATAAATACGCAGATCAGAAAAATGTGACTTTGCTGTGAGCCGGTTCGGGTTTCCTTCTCTGCAGTGTCCCAGTGCTTTATAATGATACATCGGATCTGTTCATGATGTGTGACCCACCAAGCTCAACACAGCCATGTACTGTAGCCTGCCAGGCACTTGCAAACACTCCCAGACCCCTTGGTTTTGCATTCCCGGGCAACCAAAAAAGCACAAGGTTTAATAAAGCACCTCATGGGCCATTGCACATTACAGACAAGAGTGCATCTGGCTTGGCATATCACACATTTCCCAGGACTTTCACTAAATGAAATTACTATTGGCATTTCAGGAAATATAAAAATGATTTCGTGTAGCATTGGGCTTTGGGATGACTGCAGGAGCAAACAAGGGGAATGACACCTGGTGGTGTTTGCTGTTGCTGCGGTCTATAGAAACAGCCTGCTTAGCATCCACACTGGGTGGATGGAAAATACTTAACCCAAGGACAAGCACGTTATTTCTATAGTTCCAGTGGTATTAATAAGGAAATGTAATCTTTCCAGAAGAATATACAGACATTTGAAAGCCAAATACACTAGCATAGGTCTGTTCCTTACGTTGCTGCTTTTTTAACAAATATCTGCTGGAACTCTTATCACTTGCAAAACATTGTTTTTAAAATATAGGTAAATGAGACAGAATAGCAGACTGCTTGTCACAGCTCCAATCAAACTTTTGGTAGTAGTCGTGTCTATGTATGTAAACAGCAAAAGAGGCTTAAGGCTTAGAAAGAACACTGATAAATTCACCCCTCTCACATCAAGACATCCACATCTCCTTCATGGTCCTCCTCAGTCACTTTTAAGGAAAGCACCTCTTCGTTTAGGAACAAGCCACTCAGTCTCTCCTTCCGAGCCTGCCTTTGCTCTTTCAGTTGCCTCTTGCGCAGCGCCTTTTGCTGGAGCTTGCGCTGTTTAGAACGCTTCTGTCAAAATCAAGAAAGTGTCCAAAGTCAGAAAACACCTCTTAACCAGGACTAACAACTATAACAAAGATGGGTGCTTCTATTTTCAGCCCCCTTAGTCATCCTTGCTAACATATAACAAAAATTCAAAAGTTCTCAAAGGGTTGGTCTACCCAGATACTCAAGTATTAGAGTCACAGCTCACACCATTCTGCAACCAGGCTGGAGAAAGCCGGGAACTGCAGGCCTTCTGTCTTCTGGACTTCCTCCATTAGTTATTTAACACATTTCTGTACCACCCAGTAGCCAGCACTCTCCAGATAGGGGACAAAATTGAAATAAAACCAAGAATAAAGCTTAACATAAAAGCAAACGCAAATTGAACACAGCCACAAAATAGCACCAAAGACAGACGATGACACCGTGCAAGGGCAAAAAACGGAAGGGAGCAGAGCTCATTAAGCAGCAAATAACTTTACATGCAGGAGAGGCTTGGCATTTCCTCCAGGATCCTCAAAAAGGGATAGGGAATTGCAGAAACCTGTAGATGTGCTTAAATTTTAACTGAACCATTACTCAAAAAGTACTTATTCACTGCCAAAAGAAAATCCGTCCAGCAATATTCCCAGGCATACGATCAAACAATCAGAAGCTTTACTTTTGAATCCCGGATTCGTTCTGCAGCGCTTGTCGAGAGGTTACTGTCACTGTGGGCTCGGCTGATGTTGGTGCTGGAGTTGGACCCGGAGTTGCCAATGCTGGAACTACTGCTGCTCGCTGAGCTGACCATGCTAGCACTGCTGCTGCTAACACTGGCACCACTCGCTCCGCTGGCACTCCCACAACTGTAGCTGCTTCGCTTCCAGGTCTCCCTTGCAGACCGCTGCCGGGAACCATGCTCCTTAATGTAATTTCTCACCTAAACATACAGAAGAGGAAGAGCTGAAAACGTTTCGAAGAAGCTGAATGAAGCTTTCAAAGGAGTGAATTGCTGGAACACGCTCTCAATGGGGCTGCTTGCAAAGCATGTCCAGAAACTTCATTTGCCTCAAAAAGGCAGCCCTGATGGGGAACACACGAGTTGCACTATTCAACTCTGGCATTTTACCAACTCTGACAGCTTTCACTTTGCTTTCAGGCTTTCAAATCACCTTTAAATCCCTCAGAAACCTGGGCCCAGGATATCAGAGGAAGCCCACCTCCACTGAGCAGCTTGGTGACAAGAAGGTAGAATGGAGATGTGTTCAAGTAATGCAAATATGTACACAGACATTTGGTAGGATGTAAAGAGGCAGCCATGACACAGAGCTGGGCATGGAAACTGGGCAAAGACACACACCAGGAGTGAGGAAGGCGGCTCAGTGCTATCGAAGCTCCTTCCACAACAGGATTAGTTAGTCTTTTTGGCAAAGGGGATGGGAAAACAAGGCAGCTACACACACTCTTTGTGCCCACACTCATTTTACAGGATGCTTAAGGTGCAAGCCTATATATATATTGGTCATGTTGGCAATCAAAAGAACTTATTTCAAATAAAGTCAACAAATTTTAAAATTTAACAAATTTTAAATTTAAAAAAAAATTCTTTAGCAACATTTTTGAATTGTCACATGCCCAGTCCCAGCTGCCCTTACAGAAGTCAAGTAAATCAAATCATTACCATTCGCAAAGATATGCACAACACATTCCACGAAACAAAGGACATTCATTTTAGAAGTAACTCAGGTACCTAACATACCTGTTTCAACTTCTCATCAGTGAGGCAATTTAGCTCAATAATGAACTCGTTGTCTGTAGGAGAGATCTGAGCAGTGGGATCAATAATCTTAATAATATCAAGCTGCTCTCGAAGCCCCATCTCTGTACTGACTTTACGACTCAGATATTCAATATATTCAACCTAAGAAAAACAGGCAAGAAAGCAGTTGGTAATGGTGACTGTGGAGGTCATGAACAGAGGCCCAGCTCCAAGTGCTTTATTGAAAAGGCAAGCAAATTACGTCAAAAAGCCAGCAACTCAAAGGGTTTAGTAAGCAAGACACTTGCAATGCTCAACCCAGAGAAGCCAGCTAGGAGGCTTCAATCAGTGGATGGTCAGCAAAGCCCCCTAGAGGATGGTTGGTCCCCAACACACACACAAAATAGGGAAATAGCTATAGTAGCCTCTCTAGACTACTCGTGGAAAAGTAGCTGGCTGTTACACCAGGGCAGAGACGAAGCAGTGAGCAACTACCTGTTTAGCTCACCAGCCAGCTCATACACACACATACACACACAATGATGTTTCCCATCATTGTACCTTATGAGACGTGAAGTTTTACAGCCCAGACCCAATACACCAATATGAAAAATAAACTAACGTGCAAGGACGTAGTCACCTGCTTCTTCTGAATACAGAAATTTTACCTGTTCATCATTGGTCATTGCACTCCATGGGAGCTCATCAAGGTTCCTGTGCTTGTTTCTCCTTTTTGGAAGCAGGCAGGGAGAGCTTGGAATACTGGGTATGATGTCAGAGAGCACATCACTTCCACTTGCAATATCACTGCCGGGCAACTTACAATGACAGACAAAAGAAAATTAGAACAAAGCCTCAGGGCAGGATGGAGCAGTGCCATGCCATATGCCATGCTATGGAATATGCTCAACATCACAGGAAATTAAGTCTGCAATCCTAGGAGACAATCCTAACGAAACATCTAGCTTTATACTGCTCTCTAATGGTGATTGAGAAAACACAACATTTTAAGTCCCACTTTAGGAATTCAGCAGCTTTGTGGGACACGGATGACCCAGTATCTTTCCCTTTACCCAACTACAAAAGCGTTTTTACCTGCCATTCAAACTCACTGTCTGACCAGTCCCAGTATGTGCTAATGGAGGAAGAGACATCACTGCAGACACTGCCCTCTGGGAACAAATCAAAAGATGTCAATTCCTGATCATCCAAGAGGGAGAAGCAGTCATCCTGATCACTGACAGAAACAGAAGAAAACAATTCTTCGCTGCATTCAGAGCTGGCCACGCTTGTCCCACAAGAGGTCAAGTTCCACCTACCCAAAAAACAGAAACAAAAAAAGTAGTCATACCTTTAACCTCAACACTTTGGAATCATACATTGTTGAAGTTCCTTCCTGACACAGAGATAACAGCAAAAGAAACATTAATTTATCCATCTATCTAGCTATCATTTGTTAACTGGCCAGACAGCCTCAGCTATTAGATGATATAAAAATTTAATGAATATCTATACTGCCCAATAGCTGAAAAAAACCCCTCCAGAATTTCAAATTGATAGATCCGAGATGAATGAACTACCAGTGACATTAAGGAGAAAATAAGGTCACTGGTGAGCTACTCTTCTAGTTCATTTTATTTTTTCAGAATTATGCATATTGATTTTAATTGTTATTGCCATTGCCATACATAACTTGTTCAATAAAGAGCTAAAAAAATATTTAGATTCTGTATATCACTATGCAATCCAGATAGTTATCTTTACATAAAGGCGATACATTCTAACATAGGAAGTAAGTTTTTCCCCCCTTTAAAGTGTTATGTTTTGTCCCTTTAAAATATTCAACTGCTGATAAATCTGTGTTCAGAAGTGTTCACAGTCCACAACATGACAGCCTAGGGGACCTTAATTAAACGTACAAACTTAGTCTTCCTTCATTGCCTCCCCAAAATAGTAGTTTTGTATTATTTTTACTGCTCATTCAGGACAGCAGGGGAGAGGGGAGCGTTCTGTTCTTCATTTTCTGTATTAGTTGGGGGGCAGAGCCGAGATAGCAACAGAGCAGCAGCTTCTCCACTGAGCTCCTTATGTTATTTTATTACTCACTACAAAAACTTAGTGTAATTACAAATAGCAGAAGATAAGGCAGCTGAACACCACATCTGCCAAGGCTAAGATATCCGCTTTAATTCAATTTTCACCAGATCAGCAATGTTAAACCCACTGCAGCAAAAGCAGCATCTTGTGGCACCTGAAACGCTAACAAACCAAATTGATTCATCTCATCACACAGACAACATCTACAAGAATTTCTGGCACAAGAAAGAGGTTTCTAAACCCAAGAACTACTCAGCCTGCTCTGTTCTGCCTTTATCACAGAAAGGGGTCAAGGGCAGTATATAGTGCTCCTCTTCTACCTACCCACCAACTTTTACCTTCACACCATCCAAATTACATGTTTGATGGCTGGGCAGGAATTTGAATGCAGGTGTCCTTTCAAAATAACCACTACTGGAAAGACTGCCAGGAGACCAACTCTATTTGGACATACTTTCTTTAAAAAGCTTCTAAAGGGCAGTCTTCCATTTGAATGGTTGTCCTGTCCTGGGTTAAAGATCAAATACTGTTCTTCCCCACTGCATCCTCCCAACAACCCTATAAAACAGATTAGGCTTACAATCACCCACTGCTGTAGGACTAGGTAAGCTTCATGTGCAGGCAGGGACTAAAACCCAGATCTCCAAGTTCTGGCTCAACACTATCACTACCGTACTACACTGGCGTTCAGTTGATTTCCCTTAAGTTATTTCTTAAGTTCTTCGTTTACGTATCTGGGCGATATCCCGACTTAGCTTATGCCTCACAGAAATCCATGGGATATCGAGCAGCCATGACTCACGTGAGCTCCATGCTAACGGCTACAGTTCACAGACGGACCACAGCGGGTCCGGTCCTCGATTCCACCTTCTAAAGCTGCCACCACGCACGGGCAGGCGGCAGCCGCGCGCCCCTCCCCTCTGGGCCTCGGGGGTCCCTGGGGGGCGGCGCGGCGATGCGCGAGGGCCCGCCCGGCCTCCAGAGCGCGGCGCCCCGGCGTACCTGTGCGAGTGCAGGCGGCGCAGAGGGTCGGTGCGGTGGCAGGACGAGAGGTGGCAGCCGAAGTCGCTGACGTCCAGGCAGGCCGGTCCCTCGTCGCACAGGCTGAGGCTGCCGTGGGCGCGGGGCGGCGGCGAGAGGAGGGCGCCGGGCTCGTCGGGGGCCAGGAACTTCTGCGGCTCCTCGCCGGCCATGGCGGCGCTGGCGAGAGCAGTGGGGGGGCGAGGCGGGAGGCCTTCCCGCGCCGCCCTCGGACGCCTTCCGCCGGGCAGGGGACGGAAGCGCTCAGCCGGCCGCCATGGCGAGCCTCCCGCCCCTCCCGCCGCTGGCTCGGACACGAAGAGCAGGAAGCGCGGCAGCCGCGACTCACCCCGGCCACAGCAGCCCGGCAGCCGGAAGTGCACACTCCGGCTTCCGGTTCCGCGGACGACGAGAAGAGCGGCCCCTCTCTCTCACGTTCTCTCTTCCCGGTCACCCGCGCGTGCGCGTCCGTAGCAGCGCCCCCTGGAGCCTTGGAGGGGAAAAGCGGGCTTAGCTTGCCTTACGGGCGGCTCGCCCGCTGTTGAACGACAGATGGATTCGTTAGGAGAAAGTGCCCACGCCGCAGCGTTAACACACACCAAGACGGAGTCAGTGGGGCTTCTCATCCCTCCCAGTTTGTATGTGGGGAGTTATTTATTTATTTATTATTTATTTATTAAACAATAATAAGAGCCCTCCATGCAGCTGACCCCAATTGCAGGACCACGGATAGCTCCTACGCAGCCCAAAAGGCAAGCTGCAAAGGGTAAGGCACCCTATTGACAAGGGCGCTAACCCAGCTTCCCCTGGGTATAATTTCATATACAGTTAAGGGAACACTTCCATGCAAGTTTGAATAGAAAGGGGACGTACAATTCCCAGCATGCCAGCGCTGTGCAGAGATTGGTTACATAATCCCTGCTTACAGGCAATTAAAAGGTAGATTTTACGCACTGGAGACTGATGAACCATTCTGAGCTAGCTGGAAAGAAGTTGCTGGAAGCTACGGGGAGAATCAAGTGGTTTGCTGCAATTTCGTGAGACATTACATAACTTATGACCAGGGAAACCCACATGTTGCTTGCCATGTACTGTCTCATTGCCATGTGTGTTCAAATAGTTCAAACACAGGTACATTTATCAAATGTAAAATAAGGTTTTGCCTCCTGTTGCGTCTCCCAGAGGAGAGAAACATGTCCCCAACCAAGGTACTGGACGCCACCCCCAAAGAAGCTGCAGCACCCTGGCGCTCCACGGGCGGCCCGTATACGAATCAGAATGAAAGCTGGAAAGGTTGCGGGGCCCCTCCGATACGGGACCACCCACGCCCTCTGCTCCGATTGGCCCTTCCCGCATTTCCGCCTGGGGCCATCAGGGGGCGCCCGTGGCCCAATGGAACGTTCCCCGGGAACGGGCTGGTCACGAGACCGGGCCGCCGGCGCGCCGCTCGCTCTTCCTTGGCTCGGCCGTGTGGCCGCTCGCTGCCCGGTGCCGGCGAGATGGCGGCGCTGGGCAAGGCGGCGTCGCCCCCTTACCCGCTCGCGGGCCTTTCCGGCGAAAGCGGCCTGGACCGGGTCAGCTTTCTGGGGGCTCGGCTGCCCCCGGAGGTGGAAGCGATGGCCAGGAGCGTCGGGGAGCTGAGCAAGGAGACCTTCCGCAAGCTTCTCAAAGGTAAAAGCACAGCAAGCCCGGGGGCGAGGCGCGTGTGACTACAGATCCCATCAGTCCCACCCTGCGCAGCGGCGAAGAGAACGGGCGTGGTAGTCCGGCCAACCCGCTTGTGCAATACAAGAACGAAACCTGACCGCACTCTTAGAGGAGACGGGCAACAAACTAAAGTAATATATTACAATGTCTTTGCCTTATATATCTTTATTTAACAACGGAATTATGTACAGGGCTTCATCATGAGATGCCAGTGTGCTTTAGGATGCATCCTATTCGTATTTAGACTGGGAAAAGCCTTATAATCACTGCATGACCCAGCACACTGGGAGTTTTAGGACTTTTTCCTGTCAAAACACACACAGGTTTCCACCCTTACAATGCGCAACCAATTTCACTATGTTCACTTTAAATTCGTGTGTCAAGGCAGTACATGTTAAAAACCATCCTGCATTGCGCACCTTTCGGAGCATGCCCTGTTGAACGCAGTGGAATGTAACATAATCCAGCCTTTCCTGGCCTAGGATCCTGCATTAGCAGCTTTGGACTACAGTGCCCAGCATTCCTGACTATTGGCTATGCTGGCCTGAGTTAACGGGAACTGGTGGGTCTGGAAGGAACCAGTCTGGGGAAGCCTAGTCAGATCTGCTTAGAAGGCCCCTGGGTCAAGTTGGCAGGAAATAAATAAATAAATATAATCCTATACAGGTCTACTTAGAAATAAACTCCACTGAGTTTAATGGGATTTAGTCCAGGAGATTGAATACAGGTTTTCATGCTTCATTCTACCAAACCGTCCATAGAGATTTGAAGCTAAGAAAACTTAGAAACTTAGAAAAATGAAATAGATAAAACCAATAATTCTACAGGCACGTGCAGAAAATGAAGGCACCTGGGTAAATACTTCTGCTTTTGGCTTGTACTGAAAAGATTGCAACGGAGTCAGCCCACAAACCTCTTTGGGAAGGGCACTCCATTGCATGGTGTCCCTGCAGAAAAGGCCTGTTCTCCTGTTGAGGCATAGCACGCCTATGATAAAGGAGATACCAGGAGAAGGACTTCAGTGAGCATTATTAAAGTATTGGGAGACAAATTCGTGCATATGGGGGAGGGGGGGAAATGTTCCAATCATTAAAATACTGAGTGTATTACATTTAGGGTGAAGTGGGAAAGTTTGTCCTGTGAGGGATGCAGGGGTTGTTTGGTTGTGCTTTGCAAATTGTGGGGTGCCTCTGAGTGCATGGATGACTCTTTCTTGCTTCTCAGTGACCCCAGTTTTCAAGAAGATCTCACCAAGCCTCAATAAGCCAGTTTTCTGTTGCTCCACCAAATCCCTCCATGCCACCATCCTGTTGGCACTAACTGAGCCGGCATTAGAGGGACCAATTTCCTCCGGTAGTGGGAGGAAAGGGGCCTTTTCTGGATCTCAGGGCTGCTGAAACCCCCCTGCACATTTTCCTTGCCGTGATGTAGCCCCCAGGTGTCAAGTAGAGTCCTGTGGGGGCTCTTCATTGCAACCAGCCCCATGAAGTTTCCAGGGTGGGGAAATATCCCATGCTGCCCCTCAGGGCCATGGAGCTCCTCTTCCCATGTGGACCTGCCCAGCCCCTTAGATCTGCATCTGAGGCCCTCTGAGGGAGCGCCCTCCTCTGGGCATAAGGAGGGTGACAACAAGAAGAAGGGCCGTTTTGGGAGTGGCACCCCGACTTTGGAATGAGCTTCCCAAAATGGTTCGCCTGGCACCATCTTTATATTTTTTTTGGCATCAGGCAAAGACTTCTTTATTCTACCAATATTTTAATTTTTAAACTGGTGTTCAGTGGTATCTAACAGAAGGGGATATGTCTTTTATGAAATCTGGAGTTCTGGTGGATGTGTTTTTATCGTTGTTCTATTGTTTTTAGTGGTTATGAAGTTTTTGTTGTTTCATATTGTTTTGCTACGGTTTTTATTGTTGTAACCCACCCAGGGCTAATGGGGTGGATTAGAAATCTAATAAATAAATAACTAAATAAATGATTGTGATGAAACAATGTCCACACCTTTACAGAATTGCCTCAGCTGGTATTTTATATCCTGTGTTCTTTCTGTTGTTTTCCAGTCACTGTCAGTGCATTAGAAGGAAGAGACTGCAAAGCATCGGTGCAGATGATTGCTGAGAGCACCGACCTGTCTGAAGAACAGCTCGCGGTCCTCATCTCGGGCATGTATACCCTACTCCGGGAGGCTCTGAGGCTCCCTGTGGCCTCCCTTAAGCAGGAAGTGAGTAGAAAATGCATCCCTGCCAGCACACACAAACCAGGCCCACGAGTGTGTCGGTAGTTCTAAAGCAGGGCGGGCAGCAAGCAGGCTGCCTGCTCTCCCCTGCCTTCCTCTGAAGCAGCCCTGGCTGCCAGACTGCTGAAATTTGCTGGGGCAAGCCCAGAAAACAACAGCAGCTCCCTGGAGGGTACACGTGGACACATCCAGTTTGTATTCACAGATGTTTAGGGAGTGCTACCCTACTTCTTTCAAAAACTGCAAAAGTGTACATGTGACTTTCCTCTCTTTGTTTTCTTCTCTGTTGTTGTTTTTGCTTTTTTTGCAGGTTTTCAAAGAAGATCTAAAGGCACTTCGGTATGTCTGTTTGCTCCAGTTCCATCCAGTCCCTCTGTGCTTTGCGTCAATCTGCTTCCATGCTTCCATGATGGAGAAGCAGCTTCTGCTGAGTCTACGATGTGCTAAGTGCCTGGGAGGGGCTGCACCCCCAAAGTGTTCTCTTTCCCTGGCGGGCTCCAGGTGGACCTCCTTGCAGACCTCCTAGGATTACAGTGATGGCAGGTTGCTGGGGGAGAAAGCCGCCTCTCAGGTGTCCTCGTCCCAGATTGTTCAGGGCTTTGTTTACTAGTACCAAAACCTTAGATCTGGCCTGGTAGCAAACTGGCAGTGGGCGCAGTCCCCCCGGCAAAGGAGTGGCACACCAAAATGGGGCAGCCTTTGACAACAGCTGCAGCTTCACTCCACGTGAGGTGAGGAATGCCTCACAGGGAGGGCACCGAAGTCACCCTGGCCTCAGATTTTGAGGGTTTGTGTCCCCAAGGCCAAGCTTTGGACCAGGAATTCTCTACAGAGCGTGGTAAGTGCTCACTGCTGGAGTCCCAGTCTAGGCAGGCTGCATCGCTGCAGCAGAAGAGGGCAGGTAGCGGCTTGCCTCATCCCCACCTACCACAACGGAGCCTCTCAGCCCTCGGAACTGCTGGTTGGAGAAGCACCCGCTTGGATGCCCTGGCTGGCTGGCTGGCAAGGTCGTCAGAACCCACCTGGCGCCGTGTGATGGCCAGGATGCTGAGTGCGCCTTCCATTTCTCACAGCAGTCCTCTGGGGAAAGTTGAGGGCATTGCCCATTTTACTCACTAGGACTGCATCTTGACCCTGTTCAGCTACTACAACATGGAGGCTAATAAATAATGATTTAAAGAAAAGCACTGTGGCATGGTGGTCAGAGTGCTGGGCTTGGGCTCCAGCTTTCTGTGTTCTAATCCCCACTTGGCCATGAAGCTTTCTGGATTTGGGCTGGTCATGGACTGTCAGCCTAACATACCGGATAAAATTGAGAGGAGCAGAATTGCGGAAGCTCCCTTGGGGTCCTTACAAGAGAGGAAAAGACAGGTTGGATAGGCAATGTAATGATAATAGACTGCATCTTTCTCAATTCTACGCATGTACATATCAAACACGTTTTTTACTAAACTTACAGACAGATAACTGACTCTAGAATGAGAGGCACTGTCCTATTTTTCAACATTTCCTTTGTTTTCAAAGAATGGTGGTGTAACTAGTGAAACCTGCCTGCATTGTCTGGGTGTGATCACTTGTTCTAATTAGCAAGCAAAACATGATGTTTGTTACATGGACTTAGCCAAAATCTCGAGCGGGTGGCTCAGCATAAAGCATTGCATAAAAGCCTGCTTTTAAAGCCACACGTTAGATGTCTCCCGTCGGGCAGAATGAAAAAACAAAACAGGAGAGCTAAAGCCCTCACAACAAAGATTTGACAAGGTTTTTAAAATACATGGGTATCAATTTCACTTCTTCCCCCTACATCACTGCACAGTGTTCTTTTGGCTAAACTAACCTCTGGAATAATTAAGCCCCTGGCAGAATGGTGTGGTCGACTGCATCCCCGTCGCAGATGGATTGGTGGCCTCATGGCAAATGGCAGCACTGGGGAGAAGCAGGGGCCCCTGTTGGGCCCACTATGGGACCGTGGGCATTGGCAGGTGCCCAGCCATGGCAGGCCGTGGCGGCAGAGCCCGTGGCCCCTCTCCCCCCATCTGACTCTCCCTTAAAGAATCTTTCGGGACCGTACTTTTATACATGCTCTAGGAGTTGCTCTGAGCATGCCTTGGTTGGTCATCCTTTCCCTGCCTCGAAGCTACGCCTGGGAGAGGGACGGAAGGCGGAGAAGCAGTAACCTGTCTGTTTGCTCCGAATTTCCATTGCAATGCGAACGACTCCCGCAGGGTGTGTTTCCATTGGCCCTGCAGCTTAGGGCTCAGCACATGTGCGCCTCAGCTAGTCCTGGGGGTGTTCTGTTGCGCAAAGGTAGCAGAAAATGCCTCCAGCCTCCGGGTAAAGACTGGTTAGGGTGGCATCCCCTGACTGCAGTGCCTCAAGGAGCAGCCAGTGGGCCAAGACTGGATTTTTTGATAAAACCTGTCCTAAGAACTCAATTTCTGTTTGAATGTGGCTGGAAGGGGTAGGAAAAAAGTAGAAATATTAGGGTTGTTTGCCAATGTAATAATTCACAGTGGATTGATTGCATGCCTTTTAATTGATGATGGCAGGTAAAATCGGGTGCAGAACCAGGGGCCACACCTGCTCCTCCAGGGACCTAGTGCAGCTCTTGGGGTTTCCCCAGATGGTCACAAACCCTCTCTTGAAACCACCAATCATTTCCCGGTTTCTGACATTGTGAGCAGTTTTCCCCCAGTTTGGAAAGCTTTGTCCTGCAAAAAGAAAGTTCTGCACCTCCCAGCATTGCCCCTCCCTCCCCCACCCCCTTTTTATTTTATTCATTCTAAACCCTTTTGCTACACACGTAAAAGCTTATTGCATCAGCTTGCAATTCAAGGCACCTTTAAAAAAAGCCACTTTCCATTTTGATGAGCTGCATAATAGAGACAGAAATGCCAATGTCGCCGTTTTCCCCTTTGCTCCCTATTTAATCTTCCACTGGAACCTGAACAGCCTTTAAAAACAGCAACTAATTTGTTGGGTAAAGAGAAAAATTTTCGCTGTTGAATTCATGTGCTACTTTTGTCCTTTTCTCTCTTTAAGGATTCCGGAAGATTTCATCTTGGACTTTGCTACCATAGCCTTTGGGAACAGGTGAGTGGACCTGTTAAGTCCTGTGGGAGATCATCCCTTCCCTGTGTATTGTTCCCTGAGCCACACCTCTTCCCAACATATTTCGCTATCAGCAGGTCCTGCCTGCATCCTCTTAAGTACCTCTGTGATAAGCACTTTGGCCACTGATGGTAGGAGAGGTGCATGTCTTATCCATTCCACAGTTGATATTCTAGAGGCCGGATTCAGATTCCCGACACAAAAGGTTGTGAAAGCAGTAATTATTCAGCCTCTGTGGTGAAGGTCAAGCCAGTAGGCCTCCTGCACAACATTCGAGTGATACTTTGTTTGATCACCTCTACAAAGTAACACCAGTGACGTTTTTGTGACAGATTTTGCTTTGTAGGGTGTTCGTTTTTCTGTCTCAGAGTTTCAAGTACTTCCTGTAAAATTAATAACAACTGGGCACCTGAAACAATGTGTCGCATTCACACATAACACAAAGCCTTGAGTTATGGTAACTTTAGTTAGTTTCTTTGGGCATGCCTTATCTTGCAGACAGAAAAAGTCTTGGTTTCTCCATTTCTGGTCTGTGTCTTTTCTATCCATTTTGCAGACCTTTAGACCAGTTTCATTTCCTGGCTGCATTTATCAGGCACCTCTGTTTCAATGCAGACAAGCCTCAGGCAAGCCAGGGATAAGCCATAGTTCAGGTTTAGGCTTTGCAACAAGCCTTTGTTTAAATGATGGCTTTTATTAGTGGTTTATAGCTGGTTAACAAACTGTGGCCCACCTGTAGGAATAGGTTCAGAGACAGCAACAAACCACATTTCACAAGCCGGATTTCAACGCAAACCTTGGCTTTGCATGATGTGTGAACTGTGTCTTAGTGTGCAAGTGTCCGTGCAGAAAATCCAGGTGCCACATTTCCTTAAATGTGGCAAACTGCCTCTGAGGAAGAGGGTGGTCGTGATAGCGCAGGTGCTGACCCATGAGCACTCTGCAACACTTGCCTTTTCTTAGCACAGTTTCCCCCATGGACTCTGCTTCTGAGCAGTGCCTCTGTTTATTTTTGTGTGCATCCCTTGCACTGTGCTGCAAGTTTTTCTTTCGGTAGAAAAAGACATGGATGTGTGATGAGTTTGAGTCCTGCAAAAAAACAAAAAATGGAATGCATAAGAAGGTTCTGAAAAGCTACCCAAGGGAGCTCTGAGTGTTACATAAGGAAGATAAATCTAGTGGGCAGGATGGCATTGGCTGTGTGCCAGAGGTTGTGCTGTGATGTTATTTGGTAATGAACCGGGTGCTGACTGCGGCTGAGAGGTTCTGGTGCATTCGTTTCCTACAAGAAAGAGACGCCTGGGAGAAAGGGTAGGTTTGTCTGGGCATGCTTTTACGGCTATTTAATCACTCCTTCTGAAAAAGATACTGTAGACCTGGAGAAGATGCAGAAAAGTGCAACCAAAAATGATCAACTCTCTATACAGTGGAGTTACACCACATGGAACTTCTCAGCTCTGACAAAAGGCAGATGGTTGAGGTTTATGTAACTGTGCCTTGCTGAGCCAAAGTAGGTGCGAGCACATTTTCATCTGCTGAAGTGCACTTGGGAAACTGGAGACAGAGAAAAGAAAGGGAGGTGCTTGGTGGCTGAGCACGTGCTTGGCATGCTCAGTGCCCTGGGTCCAGGCTGCAGCGTCTCCATGTGGGGTTGGGGGAGGCTTCTGCCCGGAACCCTCTCCCTCAGTGCAGACCCTTTAGTGTCAAAAGGACCGGTGCTCTGCCTCTGCATAATGCCACATCCCGTTTTCACACAACAGACACTGAGGCTGTGAAGTTTGCTCTTACATAGTAGGGTGACGGCCACCAATGTGGAGAACTTTATGAGGGCATCGAGCACATTCATGGAGAACAGGTGATCCATGCCACTAGTCCTGATGGGAAATAGGCTGCTGAGTTGGAATGGGCCTACCTGCTCGTGGGCAGCGGGGGAGTGGAGAATGTGGAAGCAACTGTGAGTCTTCGTAGGCACAGCCCCAGGAGGAGTCCAGAAATAGAAATAGAAACAGAAGCAGAGCGAGTCAGAAGGGGTCTCCCGAACCATCTAGTCTGACCCCTGACTCCAGCCGGCTCCATTCATGACATGCCTACCATGTGCATGTCCAGCCTGTCCTTGAACATCCGCACCGATGGGGCTTCAACCACCTCCCATGGAAGCCCATTCCATACCTATGGGGTCCTACCTGTCAGGAAGTACTCCCTGGCGTCCAAATTGAACCTGGATTCCCCTAGCTTTGCTCCATTGGTACACATCCTGTCCTTCTCGATGCCCCATGTAGATCTCCCCCATCCTGCTTTGGGGAGAACACAGAAGCAAAATAATCATTTAGCATCTGTGCCTGTTCCCTCACATCAGTCACTGAATCCCCTCCCCCCTTATTCAGCGGTCCCACTGCCTGTCTCCCCTTCCTCTTGCTATTTACGTGCTGCTAGAAGCCCTTTTTGTTGCTCCTGATATTCTTGGCAAGTCTCAGCTCATAATCAGCCTTAGCCTTGCGAAGAATCCTTCTGCATCAGGCCTCCTCCTCCCGATATACCCTTTTGTCAGTTTGCCCCAGTGCCCATTTCCTGCGGAGATTCCTCTTACATCTAATCCCTCTTACCACCTCCTTTCGCATCCATGGCAGCGCCCTCCTTCACCTCCCTGCCTTCCTAACTAGTGGTATCATCAATCCAGGAAGCTATCTTGATGCATATCAGCAAAGACATTATAGAAAATTTAATCCTCAGGAGCAGATGCTTGGTAAAGCTCATGGGCGCAATTGTCCATTCAAGAGCAAGGCAGCCCTCCCACTCCCCAGATACTGTGCCTTACAACAGGGATGATGTGTTGTCGAGGGTGCTGACACACAGGGCTTTTCCCCATTCATAAAAGGACACCTGTGGTGGGCTTAGCCAATCACAAAAGACTTATTTTCCAGAAGGCAAAGGTGTTTCTCTGTTTCTTCTCACCGGCAGGCGGCCAGTTCTAGAAGCTGCACTTCAGAAGCAGACCAGCAAGCTGCCTAGAATCACTGACTTCAGATGGAGAGTGGACGTGGCTCTTTCTACCAGGTATGGAATGATGGGTCCACCTAAAATCGCTGTGGTTTGGGATATGAGATTTGAATCTGCCTAGGCTGCCACTTCTAATTTGGAAGCTCCCACAGCTGTACAAGATTACAGTCAGTGAGCTGGTTCAAACCCACCTGTGGGTTGAGTCATGGGTTATGTTGTTGTGTGAACCCAACCACACTAACAAACCATAGTTTTGTTAACTGCAGACTACCCAGAGTTCATAATCCATAATGCATCATAGGTAGTTTGTGGTTAACAGACTGTGATTGGTTAGCCGTGGTTTATGGTTAACAGACCACAATAATATGTGCTGTTTGTCATGTTGTGTGAGCAATTCCTTTTGCTCTCTGAGCAGTTTCACATAGAACTACTAACACATGAGTTGTTGAATTCTGAATTTTTGTGTTGAGCATACCCTGCCATACCAACAAACTACACTAACCAGAAAGAGAACTCTTGGCTTGTTGTTGGGCATGAACTCATGAACCATGGGTTTTCATTGCGTGTGAACCAGACATACGGGTTTTTCATTATTTGTTTTACCATGCTACAGAGACTGCTGACTAACATGCACAAAACCCGTGGCATTCCACATGCCTTACTACAATGCTGGAAAGGCACTTGGGTGGACAAAGGAGGAGGGAAACAAGCAACTCAGAGACTATGAAAACAAACAACAGTCATTTAGACATCTGCCAGGAAAAACCAAGATAGAGCAAGACACCATGCGTTAAATAAACCATGAGTTAGTATTACGTGCAACTAGTTCTTAAAGACAGTTTGGAAGCTTATTTATTATTCAAAGTTATATTTTGCTTTGCACAGAAGTTATCAAACCAGTGAACATAAAATACAGTGGCATAAATATATCGATAAAAAGAACACAGTACCAGTTAATAAGCAGTAACAACAAACATTCGACAATGTGTCACAAATCACAATTTCAGCTCTGTATGCATAAGTGCTGCTGTTGGGCTGGCAACAAAGACTCTAATGCCATCAGGCTTTTAAAGAAACGTTGACAGTGAGACTGCTGTGATTTCCTATTTTCTGTGTTTGTTGATGTTCTGGTCCAATGGTGAGGAACCACAGCTGTCTTGGACTGCAATTCCCAGCAGCCCCAGTCAGTGTAGTCAATATTTAGGTACACCCTTGATCACCTAGAGGAGCACAAATGCTCCACCCCTGTTTTACGCTATTGATTTAAGTAATATATTTTGTATTTTTCTGTATATCAGTTTGCTGTAAATGACTTTGAGAATAGGTAGTATAGACACGCATGTGGTTGTTCTGCATCACCATTACGTTGAGGCCAATTACAGGGGAGTAAGTCTGGAGGGGCTAACCTTGCTGAGCGCTTCCCCTCCACTGATGGGCGCTCTGAGCTCGCAATCGATGTTGTTGATCTATTTCTCATGAAAAGTTAGCAGCTTGCTCATTGCATGCCGTTATACATGAGAATACGGTTGGTCCAAGTCATTCCCAGGCCCAGTGTTCCTGGATGGAGTGACAGCAGTCAGGGAGCTGGTCAGCTGTAGTTGGAGAAGATTCACCTGTTGATTACCTCTTTTCTCAGCCTGAGTTGTTAAGAGATAAATAACTTCTCTCCCGGCCTGGGTTTCCATTCAGAACCAAGGGTGCTTTTAGTGCACTGGCTTTGTGCACACGCACAGGCAGAGGGAAAGAATAAGAGAGACGGGGGAACCCAAAATGGTGGCAAGGAAGGACTGGAAACCATGCAGCCAAATATTATTTATTATTATTAGAACATTTCTATGCCGCCCCTTGCCGAAGCCTCGGGGCGGCTTACAACACAATAAAATACAATAAAATACAGAAATAACAATATAAAATTAAAATTAACAATATAAAATAAATAAAAAGTATAAAATATAAAAGTCTTCTCCTCCGTATGCGAGCCAACCTTGCTGGGACAGCGTGGGTTCCATTTTTGGATGCTCTGCCTTCTCAGTTTCCATCCTCCCAGCCTTCCCCTGGGACATCCTGTTTATCAACTGGCAACAGCCTTTACTTAGAAACATGGAGAGACTTCAGCCTCATCCATCTAGCTCTGACGTTGGCTGCTTTCTGTCCAGATTCTGCCAGCATCAGCTGTCAGGCAGAACCGGTGCCCTTGGATGATTCATCTGCCATTCTCGGCGTCAGAGAGAATAAAACAAGCCTGCCTCTGAAATGGGCCCTTTTTCCAGCTTAGAGGCCAGAAGGCTTTGGTACCATGTCAGTGAGATGGATGGATCCCAGTGATATGGGGCTTCTAAATCTGTGCATTTTCTGGTGCTCCAAATGGATTTGGATCTGATTTATCTTGTCTGGGTACTACATGCTTGTGATTTTTATGTACACCCTTCTTTTAACTCCTCTTCGCACACATGCAGTTGGCTGTGTGATGGGCTTGGGGAACTTCCTTTTAGTCATCAGGCGTGGGCCAGGGAAATGGGAGAACTGATAACAATTTTGAAACTGGCAAGACTGACTTGGGATCCATTCATTATCCATGCATTCTGTCACTACAGATTTGTTTTCTGGCAAAAAAAAAATTTAGAAACACACTTTTTGTAGGACTGAGAACATGAGAATAAACTTAGGGGAAGATGGTAGGGTATGGGAAGAGAAGAGTGTGGCATCCTAAAATAGCTGACATCAGGGGAGCAGCTAGGCCTGGCCCCTGGGGCCAATGGAAACTTTTCCCCATCATAGCTTGCCCAGCAGAAGGGCCATTTTCAAGGGAAATTGCACGAGATCAAGGAGCAAACTCTCCCCTCCTTTCCCATACTGCAATACCCCCTCCCCTCTTTTTTTGTATGACAATTAAGCTTAGCGGGGAGGTGGGAATACTTTCCCTTTGTTTGGAATGGGATGGGTAAGGTGCAGATTGATTGAAGAGTATTTTATTGGAGATGATTCATATGGGAAATGAATGAGCCTTTTGCCACCTGTTAAATTTAAATAAATCCTTCTCAAAGCATCTACTTTTTGAAATTTGAATATCAGTTAGCATATGCAGATTGGTGCGCTAAGTACCCAGGCCATGGATGGCAGTGTATTAATGTGCACAAGAGTGAGCATCTGCAAAGAGTCGGGAGCTATTTTCCCAGCCTCAGACCTCGCCATGGGCTGCCCTTCCACCCCAGCATAGCTGCTACGCTCTGGCTGTGTCAAGCGCCTTAAAGGAGCCAGGCGGGTGCAATGGCCGAGGGCGCGGACCGGGGACTCGGGCCATCTGGCTTCTAGCCCCACTCGGCCATAGAGACCCCCACATGACAGCCTCTCAGCCCAACCTACCTCACAGGGCAGTTGTTGTGGGGATAAGATTGAAAGCAGGAGGAAAATGATGATTTAAGCTGCCTTGAGTTCTTTTAAAAAAGAAAAAGGCAGAATGTAAATCTCATATAATAAATAGTTAAATCATGGTGCACAAGTAAAGACAACCCTTGATTTAATGGCAGCTTCTATTCAGCCCATATTCCTTGTAATGCACAAGGAAGGCCTGTCTGTTTGTGGAACTTAGAGGCTCAATTGAGACTTGTCCAGGTGTTCCTTCCTACATTGCTCTAATGGTCAGCGTGTGATCGCTTCCAGCTCCTTGGCGCGTGCCTTGCAGCCATCCATTTTGATGCAACTGAAGCTTTCGGATGGGTCAGCACATCGCTTTGAGGTAAGTCGCGATAACTGACACTGTGCGAAATGGTTCACATTAAATTCTTTGCAGGGTTGCAAGAAATGCCAAGCCCCAAAAGGCGATTCCTTTTTCCTGGATTGTTCTCCCCGGCACTTGTGAAACAGTCTTTCAGAGAAGGCTGCACACTCTGCGGCCATTTGTGACACAAGTCCCACCACAGTGCCTTGCAAGTCCTCATTCCCTTTATTTCCGAAGGGTAGGCAGAATGGAGGCGCCCAGGCAGCAGTGAGGCAGAACTGCGTTAATCAGTGTGGAAAGCGAAGATGCGAATTGGTGGATACAAAGCCATTTTCCCAGGGGCAGGCTGCATTTTGCCTACGCAGCGCTGATTTCGAAGCCAAGTGGAGCCACGCTTAAGCACATAGCTTATGCCCTCAAGAAGCTTCAATTGAAAGATGAAGTGGGATGTGGGAAGCAGATTGGTGTATTGCAGCCGGGCTGCCTAAGTAGCCATTTCTGCATCTCGTCTGAAATCCTAATGAAGAGATTTGACAGACTGAGAAAAGAGAACGTAACCCTGTCATTTGGACTGAAAGGGAAATAGATTTCTCAGAGATCACATTTTTATAAGTCAGAACCCTCATTTGTTGAGATCATGCAGCTTTATATATTTGGTTTACTCGGGGCTTTCCAGCAGAAGAAGGGAAGGAAGTTCTAACAGTGAGTGAATCTGCATGTTTCTTTATATTAAGTTATACAACCAGACAGTTGATGTTTGCTTTATGGGCATTTGAGCTAGTTGTTTCATTTTTGGGGTTTTGTTTTGTTCTGTTCTGGTTTTAATAAAATGTCATTGTAATAAGGGCTGCAATGTACAGTCCTTTCATCAATCTAATTCAGATTAAGGTGTCCCCCTCATTCATCAGCCAGGAGATCTTTACAAGTAAATTAACTATTCTTAATGTTTAACCAAAGTAATTCTAAGCATCATCAGCTGGCCTGTAACTTCATAATACCTCTGCCACATGAATACACATCTTGTACAGGTAAAATACACTCATTCATTGTCACTGCTCGCACATATGCAAATGTCTGCAGATTTGATCAGCGAGTTTAATCAGCTGAAATTCATATATTTAACTGAAAATTTATTTCATTGGGTGGGAGCCATAATAATAAATAACCTATACACAGATGTGACTGTTTAGTTATCCTGATCTCTCTCTTGCTCTCTCTCAAAAGAGAAGCCAGACCAGTTGTTTGAAAATAAGACAGTTCTTGTTTGTATATAAAAATGTTTTAAATGGTCCTCAGACAACAGTTATTGGCAGGTTTCTGGTGAGCAAAACGGATTGCAAGTGACCATTTTAAAAAGAATTGCATACCTTTATCTGCTACATATTTAGCAACTGTATGTGTTTGTTTATTGTATTTATTTACTGCCCAGTAGCCAAAGTTGCACAGCCCTGTGCCATAATATTTTGAACACTGACACCCTTGGGGCTTATTGGCAAAGCCACCCTTCATTGCAATATGCTTTCACTTTTGAAGACAAGCAACTGGGCAAGATTTCCTAGTGGCTCAGATTTCTCAAGTTCAGGGTCAGTCCTTCACTAGTGCAGGGACATGTTCATGCTATAGGTTCAGTTCACTTGACCCTATAGAGAACATACCTTGACTATGGATGCAAGGGGATTTTATTTGCATTTTAATAAACCTTCCTGAGTCACGCCTCCCAGACTAATATTATTCTGTGCATGCTGCACTTCTCCAACTTCACAGTACGAAACACATACAAAATGTGTATAAAAATGCAAATTTGAGGAGTAAATGTATAAAAATGTGGATTTTGTGGGAAATGTATGCCATTTTGAGCTGTTTTTAAAATTCTCATTTTTGAAAATGCAGGTTGATCTGGAACTGGGATGGAACTGCCTGTGAATAAGTTCATGCAAGGTTGAGATGGACTAGATAAAAATCCTTCAGAATGTGTATATTTAAAGAAATGCATATATATTTTTTCCTAGGTGCCGGTTGCAAAGTTCCAAGAACTAAGGTACAACGTTGCTCTGATCCTGAAAGAAATGAATGACTTGGAGAAAAGAAGCATTCTGAAGATTCAGGACTGAAGTTTTTCTTATTAAAATCATTAAGACTTGAAGCTAACCTGGGAATTACCCAAAAGAGCAAACAAACTCCTGTTTTGCAGTGGTATGCGTTGTAACATAACCTTTTTGATACAAGCTGTAAATATTCTCCCAGTCAAGTGCTGAAATGTGCTGCTTTTACCTGAATTTATCTTTTACTTGTACATATAAACTGCATTAGCATTGCCCCTCCGGATGAGCTAAATTCGCATGATTCATCAAAACATCTCAAAAACAGCCATCCCTTGCCATGCCAAGAAGCCCTCTCCAAATGAGCTATGATTCATCCCACTAATTATTGCAGTGAGTTTATGAGCGATCTGTTCCGTTAACATGCGGAGTATGAAAGGGGGTGGCAAAGGAGGTCTCTGCTTTTCAGATGACAAAAAGAAAAAAACCCCAAAACCCTTCGCTGAAAATCAGCATGGAGTTCAGTGTGTTTCTTTAAAAAAAATGGCTTTGCTGCTGTACATTTATTCATGCTGTGTGAAATGAATTCAAGACTCTGCTTTGCTGAAGCACGACATAACTCCCAAACATCCACAGGTCCACACATGGCCTCCCAGTTGGCTTTTTGAGGGAGTGGGGAGTTGTCTAGATGTTGCCTCATCCAGGCATCTCTTATCGAATTGTGGTGTATATAATGCCATCTGAGTCTACATGGTGCTTAAAAGCAGGAAAGTTTGTGTTGGAGTACATATTTTGTCTGGCTGATCTGCTGGTGACTGCAGGCTGGCATTCCATGGAAAGACCATCAGCAGTGGGTGGAGCAGAAGCAAAAGTGGGTGAAGCCATCCCTTCTCTCTCACTCTCGGAATGGGTGATGCATGTAGCAGAACTATCCCTAGATAAGTGGGGCTTGCAAGAAATGTGACAGTGCAAAGCATGCCCTGCTTGGGGTTTGCTACTCTAATCCCTCTGGGAGTTTGGTTCCCTCATCCGGCACATCGTGAGAAGGCAAGACTCCCAGGAGAAGGCAACCATGCCAGGGAAAGCCAACGGCCGAAGAAGAAAAGGAAGCCCGAACAAGAGATGGATCGACTCCATAAAGGAAGGCACAGCCTGGAATTTATAAGACTGGGCAGGACCGTCATGGATAGAACATTTTGGAGGGCTTTCATTCATGGGCAATGGCAATGGCTTGTAGGTCCATCACAGCAGCAGTCCCCCACACAGGACAGCATCATTTGTAGGCCTCGGGGTTGTTTTGTTGACTTCCTCCTCCTGTTAGTTTTTTGCCCTTTTGCACAGCAGCGAGCCTTGGGTTTCCCACCAGTTCTGCTTTTGCTTTCAATATACCACGTGAACATCCACAACAGACGGAACAGCAGCACAAGAATGCTGGCCCCCTATTCTTCCTTCTCTTGCAGGCTTCCCAGCCTGATGTCCTCCAGAAGCTTTGGGGCTTACAGACCTCATTGGCTTTGCTGATTGCAAGTGATGGGAGTTGAAATCCAACCCATCTGGAGGACACTCAGTGGAAGACTGCCCTGTTGAGTAACCAGAAAACCCCTGCTCCACTCCTGCAGGAAGAAAGCCCATGGCTTTCCAAGATTGCTCTTCTCTTTAAATGATTGCTACAGGGTTGTACCTCACGCTGAGCTTTCCGTGTTTAGAGCGTTCTTACCAGAAAAGGCATGAGATTGTGTGTGCCCCACATGGATACACACAGAGAGAGCCTTTTTAGAAGAACTGCGCTTTTAGAAGACAAGCTGAGCAAGTCTGCTTCTCTCTGCTTCATCTCTCCATGAGCCCAGTTTTCCAGCACAAGCCGTCCCATTGGTTTGGTTCAATATCTGACCCTAAGTGACTGCTCCCCACTGCAAGAGGCAATCAGGCAATGTGTCTATGAATGGAGTCCTGCTCCCAGCCGCAACACACACCTGCAACTGTTTTGAAAGTGAAATCTTCATCTCTTAAAAAGGCCTGGATGAGGTCTTCAAGCCATGATTCACCAGACAGTAGCTTCAAAGGCAAAGAACATTGACTAAGCCCACTTCCGTACAGTTTGCTGTGTATACTGTGGACAAACAATGATTTAGGCTATTTCAATAGAAATGAATGAAACAATTGCCTTTCCAGCAGGGAAACCTTGGAACTGAATGGGATAACATGGTGTGAGGGTGTGGACTGTCCATAAACACTCCAATTGCTCAGCTGGTAATGCTGTAGGATTGTTTGCAGACCTGCTTCTGTAAAGCACAAGGAAACTGTCATGTTGGCTATGGGTAAAACCTCACAGACTAGGAAGAGATCTGAGCTGCTGATCTTTGGAGACTCCAAGCAAACTACCCCAGGAGGGTGGTTCAACTGCAATTTGGCACTGGCCTGTCCTCTCTTGTGGGTCTAGCTAGCAAAGCTCTGTAAGAGCAGGGAATCAAATGACCACTGGGGAAGTTACCTTTGCTGGACAACCCTAAGGTAGTCTTGTGTGATCTCAGTGGCCAAATTTTGACACTTCAAAGATCACAAAAGGGACCCCTGGTGAAGAAGTCTTGGGAAAGAGTTCTACAGTCACCCCCACCAAAAAGACCCTGCCTCCAGTAGCTCCTGACTGAACCTCTTGGGGGAACGGATGCCCAGTCACAACGTTGAAGGAAGCCATTTATCGACAGGAAGCTTAATATGGGAGGAAGCAGCCCTCTAGATGATGATTTATAAACCTTCTCCAGTAACAAGTCAACAGGGGAATAATGAAGGGAACCATGACTTTTTAAAATTATTCTGAATGTGCTTACTCTTCAGTATCGATATACTGCAGCCTTCCCAATCTGGGGCCCAAGCTGGCAAGGGCATTCTGATTCTGGCTTTTGTCCAGAATCCGATGGGCACAGGGCACTGGTGGAACCAGTGTTTTTACTGTAAAACAAAAATGGGAGTTAAAATTTATGGGCTTACAAGCAAATTCCTTATTCATAAGCTCATCTGTTACATTCCATTATCAGGAAGACTCAGACCATGAGTAATGGATCTGCACCTTTCTGATTGGCTATAGTGCAGGAAGTGCTCTGGGCTAGCTAAATACTTCTTGGTAAACTGTGAATTCCTGCAGGGACTATGCAGCAACATTGTAGCTATGATTGTGTATTCAACCTAATGGCCTGTCTGCTCTGGCTTACAGCTAGAGGGGAGAAGAAGAGCGAGAGGGGAGGGGGAAGAGTGTCATTTTCTTAAGCCAACAGCAAAATATTAAACTGACTTGGCTTGGAAGGCTGGTGCTTTTGAGAAAGAGTGCAGGTTTTATTTTATAACACAAAAGTTCGCATGAGCAACGTTTTTCTGCCAGGATTTATCCAAAATTTCCCAACAGCAGCAACCAGTCTTCAGAACAAAAAACTAGTTCCTAACATGAGGGGCCGCTCCCAAAAGTCTGGGTTGTACTTCTGGCCCTGAAAACATTGGCTTCAGTGTTGTGCGAAAGGGGTGCGGGACAGGGGCGGAGGATCACGGACTTTCGCCTTTTCCTGCCTTGCAGAAGTCCCAGCACGGAAGGCGGCGAAAAAGACTCGTAAATCAAATCAGGCATTGCTCTCCCTTCCTGCCCGACGGGAAAAGCACGCGAGGGAAAGCAACGGGAGATATGGGAATATCGGGGTGGGAAAAAGCACACCAGGATAAAGGGCATTTCTGGCAGGGCGTGTGTCTTGTGCCACAAGTTAGATTTCAGAAAGAAATTCGACTACGGAGAGTAGAGGAGGAAAGAAAGGGAGAGAGACTGGGGCAGAAAGGGAAGGGAACAGAGAGAGCGAAAGACTGGGGGCAGAGGAAAGAAAGGTAAGACTGTACGAGCAGGAAGAAGAAAAACAGGAAATAAATATGGGGGCAGAAGAAAGAGAAATACGACATGGAGCTAAGGAAAGAAGAGATGGGGCAGGGAGAAGGGTCAAAGAAAAGATCGGGGACAAAACAAAGGCGGAAGATCGGGTGGGAAAGAGAGGAGAGCGGAGGCAGAAAGAAGGGCGTTGGGGAGCAGCGCTTTGGAGTGGAAGAGAAGGCGCGAGAGACGTAGATGGCGAGCGGCGGGAGGCAGGCAGGCGAGGCGGACTGCGGGCGCTCCTCCCGCAGAGGGGGCTGCTCCCCCACCTCCGGCGCCCCTTCCCCGAGTCGCAACAGCACGTTATAAAACCGCCCGGGTTTTGTAACCATCCCGCAAGACGCGGCCCAATGAGCGGCTGCGCCGGGCGGGCGGGCGCGCGCGCGGCGAGGGACGTCGGCGGGATCACACGGCGCGGCCTTTACATAACCGCTCGCCGCGCCGCGCTCGCCTTTATGAGGGGCGTGGAGCGCGAGAAGCCGGCAGAATGGAGCGGCTGGCGCCGGCGGCGGCGCCTGGGTCCGGGTCCGGGGCGCGCGAGCCGCATTCGCAGCCGCAGCCGCGCGAGGAGAGGCGGCGGCGGGCCCTGCTGCTGCCCCTGCCCCTGCCCCT